GGCCGCTGCAGCAACTCCATATATAGGTCGCCAGCTCTACCGACTGAGCTAACCGGGCACACCTGTATTTTCCTTTTTGTCAACAAATCTGATAAAAAGACCAAAACCAACGTGTTAGTCTGTCCTTCATATGTCAGTATACTGAACATTGACTTCCCTGTTCACCAGTGGCTGTCAATCCCAAGCTCACTGGTTTGTACTGAAGCCATGAATCTTTAGAATTGGATCACAAACACACTGCAGTCTTATTTTTAAAAATAACTCTCACTTCCTAAAATTGCTGTCTAGTTTTAAGCACACACACATCAACACATCTCAAATGAATACATATTTGGACATTTGGAGTGAGCATTTAAAGGAGCCGCACATTGTACGTAGGACTGACTCAACGTAACCTCTGTGTTCATGGTAATGAAGGAACATGTCTCCCAGTGCAACAGTGTGACTCACTGATGTGACTTTTTGGACAGCAGCTGAGATTTATGACACAGGGGAATAAGATGCATAGACACTACTTGTTAGTACATACTGCCAGACCGATTCGTTAATATGGAACACTGCCAACTGTGTAAAAGACTGAAAGATGTCCCAAAGTTTTTCATAACAAGAGTAAACAAGTCAATGTCAAAAGTTTTGCTTTGTTTTGAAACATTATTATCATCCATCAAAGCCAGAGACTGAAGTAAGATGTTACTTTTTTCCCCTCCTGAAGACAATTATGTTTGGGAGCGTGAGACGAAACGAAGGGTCCTCGTCATTCTTTCATGTTCCTTCGGCAGCCTGATGGTTTGATGTTTCAGCTCCGCCACCTCTCCCAGACACCAAAGGTCGGGGGGCCCGGGGGCACTTAGCTTTCATCCAACTCTGTGTGTCTGAGCCCAACTTCAAGCCCATCGCTATGGCGACAGTGCCAATGAGCAAGGGGAAAATGCAGGGGTCCATTGTGTCCTTTGCAGATGTTTGTAAGGGACAGACTCCACTTTGGTTTGCAGAATACTTTTAACTTCTTATGCCAGTCAAAGCAAGTCAGTTTTGCATAGTAAAGGAATGAGATTACATTTTTGTATTAGTGTGGATAGATGTTTGCCGTGTAAACATAGAAATTAACATGTGTTCTGTATCCGTAGATCTGTGAGCAAGCATAATATAATAAGATCAGTTGTGTTTTTTTTACTACAAAGAAGACCCAACTGGTTTCTGAAAAGCTGATGTCAGCTACAGACTGGCAGGGACTGACGGCTCATTAACCCTGGATTCAAACAACAAGAAGTTAGACAAGAGGGAAAGGGTGAGGAGATAGGAGACAGAGGTTCAATCCTGGCCTCAAATGGACTTTATAAACATGTACTGTATGTGTGTAATGGCTCATGTAGAAAAAGGAGTCAACACATAGACTAAGATTAGCCATGAAAGTCCATAATTATCTTATTCTGTCATAGGTGACACTTTGCATTTTCCTAGTATAAACTGTGCCACAGTACAGCTCTGACTTCTTCACTGCTTTACAGTTTGTGATAGCAACATCGCTGTTATGATTCAGCCCAGCGGCTTGTTCCAACTGATTTTAATTTCATGTGTTTATAAAAATCCATCTCTTGTGCAGTGTAGCATCAGTGCTAAAATACAGTAGATCCACACTGTACCCACAAATGGTAGGATAGAGTGTAAGTGCCAGACTGTAGCCATACAGTGCAGTGTCATTACTGGGCTGTAACCAAAATGGGCCAACTAAATGCATGATACATGAAAACTGCAGTAGAGGAGCGCATTGCTTGTTAAAAGCTTAAGTAATGAAAGTGTATGGAAGCAAAGAAATGCCGAAATAATTCAAATTTTATAATCCATTTAATATCTAATGGTGAAATTTAACCACTCCCAACTACTTAGTATCAAAATATAAATACCATTACATTTATAGAAGTGAAATATTTATATATTTTGAAAACTATCTGTCTAGGCATATGTGGTTGATTTCCACTCATTGAAATTTCCAATTTCAAAAACACAAATTCACAAATGCAGATCCCTGATCCAGGGTTTCTCCTCGTTCATTTCTACCTATATTTGTTGGCTTGTGTGACTGACAGAGCGTGACCTGATAGGACAGATGTCTGATCGACTCCTTCAGCCTCAGTTTACTTGATCTGACATTTTTAGATGTGAAAATTATAATTTGAGGGTTTTGAACCGTTTAACTGTCAATCTGAAATTGTGACAAACATTTTGTCTCCTTTTCTTATATTTGTATACATGGTCGCTTTTTATTGTCTCTACTATTTTATTTATATTTTTCTGTTAATTGTTATGCACCAATGTCCAGGCAAAAACCAACTTGGCAAACCTGAATATGAAATTTTACAACAAATTCAAGGGTTCAGCCGTGGTTACATTTCTCAAGTGTTCAGTTGATTATTCAATAAATACACAATAATATCCTAATCATTATGGCCTTTCTTCAGCTTTATACAGTGTTGATGCAAACAACAACATACCGCGTTGTGCCAGACTGGTAGCGGATGGTGTAATGATGCAACAAAAACATACTGCAGCAAATGGATGGCAGCAGCCTGACATGATCAACTAAATGCTGTCAACCCGCCGTGCCAGCGCACAGGCTGAATCATGCAGAAAGTGATAGCTTTGAATGCGTCATCATGTCCCAAGGAAGGGTGTGAAGTGGGCCCTTCACCTAAACAAATCTCAACAGCCAGTAAAACAGAAGTGATTTGTACCAAGGTTCTCATCTCGGGGCTCAGTATTGAAGTATTTGTCATTTAGCAGATACTTTTATCCAGTGACTGACACTATCATGAATGTATGTGTGGACCCCGCGAGATGCAAACCCCCCAGGCCTGGCAGCTACACACTCAGCTGCAGAGGATTATGAGCAATTTGATATGTGGAAGCTGCCATAGCAGCTAAGATTCCAAAATCAAGGAAAGGCCTGAGAATGTCATTAAAGACAAAGGACAACATTTCATTTAGCTTTTACATTTGATTTGGAGGACAACCTTTAGGTTTAGGTAACTTTAAGGTTTTTCAAAAGACGCTTCAATTATATTCCAAAAACTGACTGCTTTCTTTTTTCAAAATGGAACCAATATGCAACTGAATATTACCTCTGTGGTCCTTTGGGTATCTTTTAGAAACATAAAAATGTAAAGTGGTGAAAGAAACTATTTTAATTTTGTCCTTCTCTCACCTGTAGGAAATGTTGAAGCCAGTCAGGTTGTAGGCAGCATCACTGAAGAAGTGCAGCAGGGCATAGCCGGACTGAGACACCACCTCAGGAACTGTCTCATTCCCATAACGCTCAGGAACAATCAGACCACTGCAATAATAATTCAAAACTGAATTTAGGATGTTTTTATTACCATTTATACATATTTTACTTAAGCTGGCATATATTTTAACATAACACTTTTGTTTGCTTGTTCATGTAAAAAAAAAAAATAATTAAGTTTAGTAATTATTTGTCTTCTTCATCAAGATTTTCTCTGCCACCATAAAACTTTACTAGTCTGTGTCTAAATGGTGAGTTTGAAATTATGTTTCAGAGACTTTGCTGCTCTGACAAGAATAAAAAAAGATTTTCTAAAAAGAAGATTTTCCAGTGGAAACATAGGTGAGCTGTACTCAAACCCACTTACCTGAAAGCAGCGAGAAGGGGGGCATAAATGGAATCCCCGTCGTACACGTAAAGGTGGTCCCAGCTGCATTCAGTGGCAAAGTGGTTGAACCGTAATCGGAGTATGGTGTTGGGCCTGGAAAACACACAAAGGGGTGATCATAACTTTAATACTAACAAAACCACTCCAATAGCCATATACTACCAGTGTTACCACTACATCACCATAATCAGCTCAAATATCAGTACACTGGATGCATTGACATTTAACGCAGAGAGGACCTGAGACAGGCGATTACCTTTCACGATGGTACAAGAAACACACTTTTGTAGCTCTGACAGCTCCTACCATCCAAAATTATAATTTAACTTTTGCGGTTAAGCATTGAAGTACTTTAACACACTTCCAACTGGTCCAACTCTGAGAAACCAGACAGAAAGAAACAAATCCTGTATACACAAACTCAAAATGCTGCTCCCCCATGCATCAGCTCATTTTGTGTGAATATTTGGCAGCTTTAAACTATCTTGAAGATCACTGAATGTTCAGCCACAATGCTGATAATGATAACCATGTCTGGGAAATTTTGGAAAGTGAAGCTTTCAAACTTTACTGTCCTGAATTCACAATTGAAAGATCACTTTGCAATAAATTAAAAATCACTTCCTACGTAAGAAGTGTTAATTTTTCTTTACAAACCCTGTTAATTCACGTTCACTCTCACCAGAGCTGCACATAGATGTTGGAAGTTACTGTTTCACTAGCTGAAGAGGCTGACTGCACCCATTTTCACTTCAGGAGTGAAATAAATTGGATTCAAAGAACATAAAAGGAGAATAATTAACTAGGTGATATGGCAGAAATATTCACCACCCAACAAAACTTCACTAGCAATTTCCCACCCTGCTGTGTAAACTTTATGCCACTGTCCACGGCTGAGCGTTTTTACAGTAAAAGGACAGCAGAAACCAAGCAGCAAAAAACAAGCTTGTTTAATACGTTTTTGACTTAAGACATTCATGAGATTCTTAAAACTGTCTCTGCTCTAAATCTGATTAACATTGCAAAATGAAATCATTCACAAAATAAAAGGAGGGAAGGACACAAAGGCCCATTTAGTGTATCTACAATGAGGGCACAAGATGTACAGGAAATGTTATGAATAGTCACATTTTTCTTTTCACAATTTTATTTATTTATCAGAGTGAAGCAGTAGCTCTTCCTCCCTCCCCTCGCAGATAAATAAACTGAGGAATGGCAGCAGCCCCAAGGTTGAATTAGAAAAGAAGGCTTGTGACCGATAAGTTAAGAATCAAAAGTAAGGAGTGACTGGAGAAACTGGACAAAGGAACGTCCTATGTTAAATCATCAACTACCACTGAGGTATGCAGCAAAGGACGCAGCGAGCACAGCCATATTTTACTTATCATTTCACTGCCTTTCAGTAGGAAAAGTCACTTCAGTCCACTGCAGACAGATTCAACACACTTAACTGCAGAGACAGCTGAGAGTGAATGTATGTCGAAAGCTTATGACTCCCCTCTACAGTCATTCTCGTCATTTTGATGCATATAGTGTGTACGTGCTGCTGAATTAACCTCCTGTTAAGAACGGGCTGAGGTCTGAAGACAGCATATAAAAGTGCCATTAGTATGTAATGAAAACGTTGGACGACAGGGTGGTCTGGTGATTAGAGAAGCCATCCAAGAACAGCAAGGTCAGAAGTTCAAAACCTGTAATATCTACAGATCAAGTCGAAGAGAACATGAGTGTGACCTCCTGAGGCCCCACCAAGTCACCCATGGTTAATCCCCCTGAATGAGAGTGCTGGCTAAATGCCTAAAATGCAAATGTAATCAAAGAGTTTACGGTTCGGATGAGCTGATGGCCCAAAAAAAAAAAGAAGATTCATCGCTCTAAATCGATACTCTGTGGCAAGGTTATGCTGACTAAAACAACAGAGAAGGTGTATTGAATTTCTCACACTTAGTTTGCCATTCATTTTCATCCATCATCTTCTAGATACTGTACTGGATGGATCCCAGTGAAGGACTGCAGTGCACACTGTGCGTATTGAACCGTCATTATGAGCACACTTGAAATATTGAGTTGCAGCCTCGGTTTTCACAATCCATCTCTCAACTGTCTCAGGGTTTTAGCCTTTTCTCTTAATGGCAGAAGCTGATTTAATGGATGAAGTCAATAAGGGAGTACTGGTTTCATGTAGTGTGTCTCTAGTGTCTGGCCAATTAAGGGACCAGATGTGTAGGGTTTTTTTTTTTTATCATGACGATATGTGCAGCAAACATGCCTCTACCTCAAACCACCCCAAAAGATAATTTGAAAAATTCAACTATTTGTACACAACTTATTTAAACTGTCTGGACAAAATTAGGTATTACAGACAGTCTACTGCAAACACTAACTTTATTAGAGAATATTGAATTACTTGTACTATTTCTAGACAAGACACAGTCAAAGATTTTCTAAACCAATTAAAGGGGTAGTTCAGGTATTTTGAAGTGGGGTGTATGAAGTGCGTATCTAAAGTCGGTGTATTACTAAGAGTAGATTTAGGTCAGCACGCCCTCAGTTTGGAGTAGCAGACAGGAGTCCCAGCAGGGACGGGGTCAGCAGAAAAACTTATTAGCCATATAAAAAAACCACAGCATAGACTTAAAATGAGTTTCAGTGTACGCTATATTAAAAACTTTTTCACTACTTTACATCGCTGTCACACAGCCTTTTCTTTTGGCACTACTTTTCTTCAGCCCGTTTAGTATCCATCTGCAAAAGTCCTTCTTCTGGATACTCTGGTTAATAAAGGCATCCTGTGGCCTCTGTAGTGAACATAAATTCGTCATTGCTGTCATAATTACTATTTTATTTTCTCCCATTAGTTTTCTCTTCTATAAACCGCTGTGACTCTGGTCCAAACAGCTGTTCTGTGGCATAATTCACCGTGCAAGACATAGTAGGGCTTGGGCGTAGGAATACAGCAGTTATAGGTTCAGACAATGTAGCGCCAAAGGAGAGAACTGTCTGGCAGCAAGGTAAAGCAGTGAAAATGTTATAGCGTACACTTCCACTGATATTGATGCGTTTTATTTTATGCGGTGTTGAAACTCATGTCTGCTTCTCCAAACTGGGGGCACGCTAACCTCCATATACTGCAGTAATACACCGACTATGGATAATCACCTCATACAACCCCACTTCGAAAAACCCGAACTGTCCCTTTATGGAATTCAGTCGGACAGATTTTAAACTCTTAAGAAAGTACTTTAAGCGTAATTGTTACAAAGTCCTGTCCTGATCTGCATTTCTCCCCTGGTGTCGGATCTGCACTCTACTTACTGTCCCTCGATCAGCCAGGTGCACTTGGTCTTGTACTTGTAGTTTCCTGGACCGTCAGTCAGGTAACCAGAGGGCCCCGTCAACCTGAGAGAAAGGAGGAAGAGAGGGAAGAGAATCAAGGTTACAGATGAAGATGTAAAATGTGTTTATGCGGCAGGTATGAGGTGAAATAAAGTACAACTGATAGCACATCTGAAACATGTTAGCATTTAGCATGCTGGAAATAGCATTTAGCTCAGAGCACTGTTGTCACAGAGCTGGCATGGCTGTAGACTCTTAAGCTTGTTATCTGATCAATTTATTAAACTGATAAATCAATCAAGCGGTAAAACTATTAGTGGATCAAAAAAGCAAAACCCAGCTTCTTGAATGTGGGGATTGCTGCTTTTGTATCATTGTAAATTCAATTTAATTCAATAAGACATTTCATAAACTGCACTTTAATTCAAAAACATAACAGTCAATCAATTGATAATAAAAATAAAAAAAACATAACGAGCCCAGAGAATCAGTCAAAGAATTCCAGCACTAGAATATTGGTCAAAGTCTGTTCAGTACACCAACATAGAGCAGATAGTGGTTTCATATCATTATCTGAAGCTTTAAAATACAGAGTACAAGCTTCAGGCTGAAGTCATAATGTTTGAGAATGTTCTGCAGTGACAGCAAAGAAATGATTACACACACACACATAACACACAACATACACAGTCAGCAGAGCAGAGACAGCGCAGGTAAACACCAAGTTCTGCCACTTCACTTTTTAGTTGGTGCAGCTTGGCGATTGAGCAAGCAGCAAATAGGACAGCTGAGGGGCTGAGAATGATTAAACCTCGCAGCAAATTATTATCTAAGGCGGACACCACGACGGGCAGCCGCAAACACTCTAAAAGTACAGTACAGCGCCCTGCCTGCGTTATTGCCTGATCAATTCCAGCTTGATGACACAGCAGCAGAGAGGAGCTGAATTACACAGGGGACACTTAGATGCAGTCAGAGATTGTATCATTACTGATGTAGGTCTCAGGGTGCTATGACTCTGCCAACAAACCCAGCCACAGTCCTGTTCCAAAACAGCCTCTCAGCACCATTTCAGTCTAAAGTCTACAGAGAACGCACTCCTCCCTTATTCAGCCCCAGCAGCCAGCTAAAGATCTCTGCACCACAAAGAAAATGTCAACCTAAACGATACGCTTTATAAAACACACATCCATAAAAGTTAAAGTGCTTGACATTTTGACAGAACATTCGTAATCTGGATTTAATGTGGATTAATTTTTAGGTTTGTTGGTTTCTATTTACTTCATTTCACTACAGAAACGGGAATCTATTCTTTCACAATTTAATACACAACAGATGAAATTGATAACATAGGACTTCTTGGGAGATCCCTGGTGTGTATTGCACAACAAAAGATTTCATCTGCATCCAGGCAACAAGTGTGCTGCAACTTCGTGTTATTGAAAACTTTAGCCTGCAACCATAGCTGCAGAGGTGCAGGCCAATGGGCCCAGCTGTGTGGGCTGGGTGGCTTAGAGTCCAAGGTTGAGGGTGTTGTTAAGTTAACCACTTTACAAGCCAAACATATGACTTTATATTGCAACAATGCTCTTCTGCTATCGCTTAGCTTAGAGATTTTAACAGCCAAATATATAGCTTTTTTGATCGTGCTGCATAAATGATTCATTCCAACATTGACAACCACACAGGAGGGTTTGCAAAATACGGCTGGCTCACTGTTTGTACTGCAAGTGTTTTAAGGGAGTAGTTTCACCCAGCCCTCTTCACGTAGTAGGTCTCAGCGGTTAGCTAACGAGTACACTACTGCTGTAATTACATATCGCTCAGTGCTAATACAGCAGGGACCTGCAGGGACTCTGCTAACTGAACAACAGAGCTCCCTTAGAGGATCACAGGCTCCAGACTCCCCTGAAGCCAACACACCTTCACTCCCAACCCAAACTGTTTCCTAGTAGTACTGAACAGACTGCACTACTACTGGGATACAAATTCCCTTTGAAACACCAAGAGAGATGATCCAAAATATAGTTATATATGAACCTAGAATTCATGTTTTTATCATTAGCGACAAGATGAATAACAATTAATGGGTGACTTCACCTAAATAATGCATTCCATATAAGGAAGCCTAGAGGGATCAGTTACATAGTCCATAGATCCTCTCTGAAACCTCTGCAGTCATCCTAATACAATGGAGGTCAAAGGAATTTCCCTTGTGGTGCTCAAAGCGTTAAAAAATGTCTTTCTAGAAACAATGTCTGCTACTCAGGATAAGAATAAAGCATTCCCCCGAAAACCTATTACCTGTTCTATTATTAAATACCATTACTAGTGTGGACATATTTCCTGGAAAGACAAGTTGCTGCTGAGCTTTACAAACATTTAAAGGCAGACATCTCAGCACCTGTTGTTATAGTGTCATATCAAGACCCTGGCCGATATATTATGGTTATTTACGACCATGAGGCAGTAAAACAATATCATCAACTACACTCTTCATGTTTTTATTATGATGAAGCAGATAGCAGGCACTTTCAGGACGGCAATCAGTACCCCGAAAGACAATTGTACGGTGGCCAAGAGGCGTTAAACGACCTGCAAAAGCCACAACACACAAAAACCTTTGCTTTGTCTTTCGTCAGTTCTCATTAGGTAAAACCAACCATTTCCAATGTCTACCACTGGCTTTCTTCTTGTATTGATGCAAATTTTAAATAATTTATGTACTTGATCATCGACCATGTCAGTTATTAAATCTATTAATCCTTAAATGTCTTGACGATTTATTTCATTATCACATGAAAAATGTAATGGTTGCTGCTCCAGCTCCCACTCCACTTTAATCATCACAGTGAATATGTAAGCTTCCTGCATGCTTCTTCAGAACCGCCTGTCAGATTTGCAGAATAGTTTCTAACTATAAACGCTTTTGACTTCCGATGTGGTTGTACAACACGTCATACGAACTCCTTCTGATCGAGCCTAGCCTGACCCTGAGCTGCCTTTATTTTTATATCAAAGACAATGTTATCACTGTGTGGCAACTTGTAAGCAAGGGCTGTTTAAAAAGTATCTTGTTCAAAGATCAACCAAGATTTGAGAGATATCATACCATAGTAAATTTACTAAAACCAAAGTTTTCCTGGCGCTAGGTCGATGTGAAAACATAAGGAGTAGCTTGGAAGCGCCCATTTGTACTTAATGCAAAACTGTGAACTATACCTAAACAGAAGACATCAAACATGTCCCGAGATAATGAATAAGCCAGCAGGTGCCTGTACTTCCTGTTATTAGACGCACACATACAGATACAGCACTTTGCATTCACAGTAATGTTCAACAACGGCTCCATCTCCTGCAAACAGTAACCCTGCAGCAGAGCCAAGTGGTCTGCAAATGGCAAAGTGGTGCAACATGAGAGCAGAGCAAACACGATTTCTCATTCAAAAGGCGACAACAGCCCTGTTCAGTGGCACAGGCTGGAGGGGAAAAGAGCATGCTCAGACAGTAAATGCTACAGAGGCTAAAGGGTTTTCCCCTCAGACTGTCTGAGCAGACATACAAAAGCAGCGGATATGAGCTTTTAAATCAATTAGGGAATATTTGAGGGGAAAATTACACTTCTATTTTTATTTTATACGCCAATACATTCAGAGTGGTGACATCATTTGGATAATATTGCACGTTAGCAGAAAAAAAAAAAAACTTGTCAAGTTGCTTGTCACAAGATGCTGTAATCAACAATAAACATGCTTTCCCCCCTTATTAATCAACAGATACATAACATGACATAAGATATTATGAAGTTGCTCAGCAGCAGCCACGGAGGAGGAGAGCTGTGAACCTGGCAACAAATCTACAAAGGCTGTGTGCCCAAAACATGCTCATGAAGCTATAAGTCAGTTATATTGTGTAATAAATATTTCATCCGTTTTCCAAGGGACTGTGGCTTTTGCACTTTGGTGTTTTACTGGAGTTACGGTTGCACTTCGATAAGAGCTTTTTTTAATGAACAAATTTACCTTTTCATCAGCCTTAAAATGCATCCCATCTCCACCAAGACACTGTAGATTCACCTCATCTGCATAAACTAAATTCTGCCCCTTAATATTCAGCACCACAGACATGCTGAATGCACTGCGTTTACTGATGCCACCTCATTTCTGCATTGACACTGATTTTTGAAAGAGTTAACTTACATTCAGCCACCATGGCCTTTCTGACAGTAAAACTTCCTAAATCCAACCATGACTCTTGGTAGTGGGTGGGACAAATTTATGTGCCTCTGCATCAGTAAGCTGAAAAAAGAATAAATCAGTAGTACAGCAGCGGGGACCATTAGTCTCTGCAGAGGGCAGGCAGACTGGTCGCACAGCGGGGCCTTTAGTAAAGTGAGGTCAGCCTTCAAACAGGTTCGCCTGAGGATGAATGTGGACTAACATGCAGACTCCACAAGAGACAACAACAAAAGGCACAAAGCAGCGAGCTGTGAAACTGGAAATACCAAAACCAAAAAAGTTCCTCTCAGGTCAGGACGAATTTATCAACACTGCATCATTGGATGAGATGTTGTTTGTTTTATTTTGTCATTTCTACCAAATTAAAAGGATTCAAGATAATGATTCACACTAGTGCTGAAACAATCAGATTAGATTAGTTTAGATTAGATTAGATTATTTATTAGTCTTCTGACAGAAAAGTAAACAGGTACACCACGCCGACAAAAGCATAAAAGCTCATGCACAAGTTTGTGGTCCATGATGCACATTCCTGCCGCCCTTTGTGGGTGTGGGTGATGGTAATGCATGAGAAATGTCAATGCAATAGGAAAAGGCAGGCAAGAAGAACACGGCTAGCTAGCAAATGTGGACATGGCTGTTTGCTGGACGATGAGCAGGAAATTCACTCAGGTCATGAGTTTGAACAGAGTTACACATCAATTGCATTAGAACTTGGGAGAGTCAGAGTTGATGCAAGGACATGGACAAGGCATTTATTCAGCACCCCGTCCCAATGCAAAAGAAAAACTGGCTCATAACTCATAGCATAACTGATCCTACTAAAAAACAAATTTATCACAGCAAAAGCTCCATCTCATACTAATAAGAAAGTACAGTCGCGTGTCTTTGGGACTCTTTGTGCCAAGAAGCATAAAGCTGGCTTTTGTAGCCATAATCTGATCAGCATGAATATCAGATACAGTTGAGCCTTATGGCAACACTCATCAGCATTACGAGCAACAGTTATGGCTATAGTAAACTAGACAAAAGAAGCTTTTCACATAAATATAGACTTTTCATAACTGGCATTTTACTGTTTTGGCTTTTTGAGGATCAACATACCATAAACCAGCAGACAGCAGTTCAACACCTCCGATTCAACGGCAACACGGATGATTTCCCTCACATCGCATCTACCTTAAACAAGCAGGTATTAGACTGATCCAGAGGCTGGACTTTCCAAAATGTCAATAAATGGTCGGGTGACCCAAATAAAACGGAAACATTTCCTCATGTACCGCTGGTGATATCGGATACAGATAGTTTTGTTAAATAGGTTTCACGAAATCCATCTCTGACATTTCTGCCTCCATTCCAGTTCAATCGGGGTGAATGCAAAATGTCTGTGGCATTCAAAGCATTGAAAAATTAGGGGGGGATCCCTAGCCTGTGGGTTTAAGGCACCAGCCACAAACTGCAATGTGCCATGTTCAAATCCCAACAGAGACCTTTCCTTCTCTTTTCCCACATCTCCTGTCATCTGTCTACCGTCAAACCTCTGATAAAAAGGTATGAAAAGCCCCATAAATACTACGGATAACTAAAGAAAAATTGCATTTAAAGAATTCAACTGCAATATCTCTTTCCAGCAACAGTGTCCCCCCGGAACTACTTTCTACCAAAGAAATAGTCCCAGTTCAGAACGAGGACTATGGATTGTCATCAGTAACGGACACACTGTCTCTGGAAAGAGATGTTGCTCTGAGCGCTGCAAACACATTCCACCACTCAGCTCCACTGGGATGGAGGCAGAAATCTCAGAGATGAATATACAGTATCTCAAACCTGGATAAATAAACCCAAAGCAATCTGCATGGCCGGAAATCACAAGAATCGAGGAATAAAATATGATGGTTTTCCTTTGTTTGGTGGGCAGAATTTTGGTGAGAAGACATTTGAATATTGTGATATCAATTTCAACCAGTTTGACCAGCCCCAGTAAGATTTACTCCCTGAATCCCATGGGGAAAGAACCACAAGCTCAAAATATCCTCAGATGAAAAGAAACCTAATTTTCATGCCATGAAACAACAACAAAACACACTTGTCTGTTTTTGTCTCCCCCCCTTCCTTCATGTTGATTTTGGCCCTTATGGCTAGCCGGGACTCCATCTTGGCACGACCCTGCCACAGAAAGCTGCTTTTACCAGCATTCAGCCGGCCTTGTATGGTAGCATTGTCTGTATGCTAAACACGGCCTCAGACCACAGGCTCTCCCCGAAAAACTATCGGCCCTTTGACCGCCTTAACAAAACAACACAGCCTTGATATCTGAATGTGGGATCACAGAGCCGAAAGTTTGCCATTCCACTTAATGATAATTAGCCTGCCGGGGTGAGGCAGCTACAGCATCGCTGATCATGCTGTACACGGTGGTGCGGGAGCCCATAAACGCTGCACTGTAAGTCAGTGCCCTGCTGTGTTATAAGTAGAAGTTCAGGGTCACCATCACTCCTCCAGCAGACAACTACAACCTCTCTGACAGCACTGACGAAGACCGGGCTCAATTTTTCCACACAATAGTTTTAGAATAGAAACAGACAATTAAATCCCGGTCAGCTACTTTTAAAAGTAGCTGGAAGAGAAGGCGAACTTAGCAGCCACTGACAAAACCTGAGTTCTTACTCTAATAATCCCCCAAGGGACTTTCATCCTCTGCGTTTGGCCCTGTGGTCAGTGCTAAAGCAGTGCCCAGAACTCGAAGCTTTAAGGGCCAGTAACTTGGTCAAGTGCAACAGCTGGAGGATGCAAACACGGCTGCAACTAACTAATCAATGTATTATTAATTAGTTGGTTTTTACAATGAATGATTGTTAAGTTTACAAAATGTCATCAAAATAATGACAAATGCCCATTCTAATTTTTCAGAGCCAAACGTAATGTTCCAGCTTGTTTGACCAAAACATTCAAATTACAGACGTATAACCAGAGAAAAGCAACAAATTCCCACATTTGAGGGGCTGGAACCAAAAAATATTTATAATATATTAATCCATCGCCACAATTGCTTTCAAATTGTCAATCAACTAAAGAATGAATCAACTAATCCAGTAGTTTTTTCTGTCCAAAAATCTGTCCATCTTTACACTGCATTCATTAGGCAGACTTTAGTACAAACTAACTTGTGTTTTTCTCTACACACACTGAGAGGATTTAGGGGTTCGGCTTCTTGCTCAAGGACACGTCCACAAGGACATGTAGAAAGCAGAAGCCAGAGTCAAACCACCAACCCTATAATGAATGCCCAAACCACTCTCCACCCAGCTCAACTTGAGCAACAATTATAACAACCATGAAGATTTACAGATTTTAAACCTTTATAAACCAAACCTGTTCAGGTTTTACAAATGTTTCAAAGAAATGAGCCGCTGGAAGACAAAAGGAAACTGTGATGGGCAAAATTACTCAATAACTAATCAGAGGAAATAAGTGATAAATTAATCCGTGGCGAAAATAATCATTGGTAGCTGTCCTTAAGCTCCACTTGAACCCAGGTCTTTCAAGCTAACAACTGTTACCCAGGATGCAGCTGGTGGCCAGCGAGGATTTCCCACTGTGATAGACCGTTCCAATTAAAGCTGGAGTGCAACGGGCTCTCAGTTTTTAACCACAACCAAGACGAGCAATTCCATCCAGAGAGCACTCAACCCTGCTCTTCTGAAACATTAGAAGCTCAGCAGCCATTCAGCCCCCATTTTACCTGTTCAGATACGCTCTCAGCTGTGCTAATGTGCACATACTTCCACTTTCCCTTTCCTTGACCACAGCCAATTTCAGAGGATGCATGACACTGCAGGCTTCCAAGCAGCTCTGCTTTATGACCTGGCAGGCGGGCACTAAGCTGAGGCAGCATGACAGAGAATATAAAATAAAAGAAAAAAGAAATCTCCTAAACAACAATCATACAGCACCTGATTGACACATTTTAGCTGCACAGACATGCTAGCTCATCACAATGTTGGAACAAGATCTGCTTGCTAAAAAAACAAAAAAAACAAAGGAAAGCGGAAGTATAATACTATTTGAGCTCAAATGTGACTCAATCAAGGGAAATTAATTTAGGAAATAGTTGTTTTTCTAATTAAACGCTCGTTTGTGTTTTCTTGGCAGGATGTGCAGAAGGGCACAATCCTATATAAACTGGGCAATAGTGGAACCATCATTGATTTTGCCTAAATGAAGCTGTCACCAAGTGCTGCAGGACAGTTTTCCTCCCAAGAACATCGCGGATACGAACTTCAGTAATGTGAAGTGACACTTTAATGGGCACAGAGAATGAGATGTGCAGTCCTGATTGTCTGAATATTCCTATTAATTGACATTTGACACTATGTGGATTGCACAGCCATTACAGAGCAGTGCAGTCACTCTCCTTTGTTTAAATCAGGGTGAGCGCCTACACAGGAAGCCAACATAGATGTGCTCAGAATGGGGGCGAGTGTGGTCAGCTTCCTCCCACCTCTCAGATGTTTCCACGGGTTTGACCAACAGCGCTAACCTAAATAGCTCAGCTGTAAAAAAAAAAACAGGGTGCTTTCAGTGTGTGCGCAGAGGAATTCCCCATACTTTGACCCTGAGCTGCTGCTGTCTCTGTTGTTAGTGAATAACAGATATCTGAACACTTCACTGGGTCAAACGCCATCCAGTTCTTTGAAATACAGCAGCTGTCAGGGGAAGCTCTGCACCACAGAGTCCTGCAAAGCTGAACCACAGACTCGTAGCAGTCTTGCAAACAAAACAACCACAATAACAACAAAAAAAAAAAGCCTGTTCAGACTTCATCTGTGCTCCCCGCTGAGATCTCCAGCAGCTACCACCTCTGTTCCTGTTCGACACAGAGGACACTGCCAACTCATCGTCCTCACAGATACAACCACAGGGATCGCCATGTGTCCTGGCATAACCCAACTGGAAATGAATACCTGGCTCAGGTTGTATGAAAGCACTGAGAGTTAAATAAAAACGTTTGAGAGCATGAATGTGGATCAAAGCCAAAAGTGAAACATTTTTGGCGTAAAAAAAGCAGGAAGAAAATCTCTGGTTACAGCTTTTCAAAAGTGGGGATTTGCTGCATTTGTTCTTTAAAAAAAAAAAAACTGCTTTGGGTTCAAGGCCGTTGGACAGACAAAACAAGCACTTAAACACAACATATTCTCGGCTTCTGGGGTATTGCAAATGGGAATTCTTTGACATTATATCACCAAAACATTTAACTATACAGAAATCAATCCCTCATGGCTGCCCTGCTATGGTTCAAACAGCTCCTCATGCAAAGCTTGTGGACAGGTGACCACACAGTGCACAGGTGACCACACAGTGCACATTCAGGTTGAGTGCTGTGTTATACAAATGGCGAGATATCACTTGCTTTTGGTCATAATAAAACAGATCTGGGGCACTAGATAACTAAGATAGTGACATTAATGCAGATTAAAAAAGGGCACTGATGCTCAATATTGGTCAACTGTAAGCCACATACACCTTAGCATATTAACTCAAACCTTTAAAAACATGTATTGCATTTGAACCAGTAGAAGTGTGCCCTGATAGCAGCATTACCAGTAGTAGTAATAGTAGTAGACCTGTGTTTAAATGCCTCAGGTGTGCACAGCTCGGCATCTCTTCACTAGCAGTACCCGGGCTCTAGGTAAACATTTGGCACACACACACACACACACACACACACACACAACCTCTACCAGTGATATACATATATATATTTACAAAAAGCAGCTTTATTCTGCCCCTGTGTGTGCTCACTGTACCTGAATCTCCCACCGCAGTGCTGGCATTGGTCCCCAACCCAGCCGGGGAAGCACACACAGTTGCCAGTGGCGGTGTTGCACTGGCCGTTCATGCAAGGTTTGTCGCATTCCTTCGCCTCGGTGACCCCCGGCAGCCCGGAGAGCAGCCCGATAACCGAGAGCAGGAGCGCGGTTGTCGGCATCAGGAGGCTCCGGCCCCGGTCGGAGCCCGAGCAGGCCCGCCGTGTCGCCCCGTACATTCTCTCACAAAAGATGGCTGCTTGAGGCAGGCGCTCCGCTGCTTCGGGGATAGCGACTCAACGAGCTGCCCGCTGGCGTGGCTCCGTTTATCGGACCCGAGGTGAGGTTTCTCCGGAGGTAACGTTTTAGTGTTATCGTTTAGGCTGGTCTTTGCTGGTGACTTGGTTTACATCTTTCCAGTGGTCCCGTTACCCAGCGCCGCACCAAGCCGCATATTGACATCCAGAAGTGACGTTATGGCAACGGAAATGCGCAACCACGGGGAGGCGAAGCGCGCAGGGCTTTAAACTTTTATTTTGAAAACACAGAGCAGAAATCCCGCCCCCTTTTAAGAGCTAAGTTAGCCTCTTTTTATCTAAATACCTGATCATAAATGGTTTCTTTTATTGGTTATTCTGTAAAGATTAAATATCATACTTGAATGTTGTGCCCATATTTTAAGCTTAATATTTTTTTTATTTTTTTTTTATTAAACACACAGTAACAAACATACAGGAATAAGAAATATATGTAAATATAAAGAAATAGACAGTAAATTCATCTTCAGGCATAAATAAGAGGCAATATAAAAATAAACAAAAAGCGTGAAATATGCCCACTAATCTTCTGTGTTATTTTACTGGAATAAATATTATAAATTAATAATATAGAAGGATTATTAAATGTAAAAAACATGCAAAGGAAGGTTTGCTATTTCTCCATTTACAGCAGTGAATGTGATATTTACCCATTGGAAAAATCATATTAATCAAGTCAAATAGATTAATTTAAATTGTCCTCATAAAAGAAAACTAAATGACCTATTATCTAATTACCTTTTTTGAAATTAAGAATGATGGAACCATTATTTTACTAGCCATTCAACATTCTCCCATGATGCTTTGACTATTTTCGTAACACTCATGGGAGCAGTTGAAGGTGTTAAATGCTAACAAAATTCATCCATGACCTTAGAAACACTCATTCTGCTACACAATCATAACTCCAAGGTCCACTTACTGCCTTTTTCTTATGGACCTTTTCTACTGAGCAAACTCCTTTGGCTGATGAAGGCTGTGTGATGCACTTGAAAACTTAGAGATAGTAAGTGGACCTTGTGTTAAGATCACTGTACTGTTTTGTCAACAGAATAAAAGCTAGTGTATATAAGAGGCAAGGCTTTGGCTCTCTTGACAAATAAGAAAACTGGATGTAGTTATGGTCTTTCTGTATATCAGAGCCCATGTACACCTATAAACACCCACACAGCTGATTTAAATTATTTCCCTGAATTAGGGCTCTTCTCAGGACTCAATGTGTACAGAGCAGTAACTTCTGCATCTTTCAACCTAAGCATTGGTCTTATCAACCAATAACTGAACACCTGTGTCAGTGTGCATACATGTACAGTATATATATATATATATAACATATATATAACAGGTGTGCTTTCCTGCACTAAATTTAACATGAGTGAACTGCCTTGAGCATTAAAGGTCATAATGTATATGACTGTAGTTTTTTAATTTCACAAATACTATAATGTTCCAGTAAAGTTCAATGTGGTGAATCTGTATTACTTCATCAACAGAATAGTGATATTAGAGACTAATAAAACCTCAAAAGAGGCTAATTATTATTGTTTTCTTTTATTGTCTTGGGCTGTATAATTGTGCATCTACATAAAAGGTTAGTCCACATAAATATTACCTATACAGAATTTTTAGTAGAAAAACCAACCATGCTAATTATTCATAGGACTGGTGTTTAAAGAGAGAAACATCCCTGTTTTAATCAAAGTTTTTTGTGGTCGTTTGCCTAATAATGTTCATGTGAGTGAATAATCAGAACCAAGGACACAAAACTGTACAAACGGTATAGAACAGTTTATTAAATTTAGACTTGTAAGAAGTCATCATATTCCAACGCGCTCCATCGCATGAAGCGCATTCATAATAACACCAACCCAAAAAGGATTGATCACCTCATCAAAACATAAATAAAGCAAATAAACATATTTACAATACAACATGGACAGAGAATGGGGTTTGTGCACAAGAACACGCAACTACATCTCCAGACAGAGGCATCAGAGATCGAGGAAGAGGAGGGGTGTCTGATTTTTCAATGGAATTGTCCTCAGGAAAAGATACCTGGACGGCGGGAGTGAAAGGAGGATGAACACAATGCAACAAAGCATGAAAAACCTATTGTATAATCACATTTTCTTGGTTTGAGTGAAAAGAAGAACATCTCTAGAACCTCCAATAATACACTATTGTCAATAATGCTGTTTTCAGTGTTAATGGTATACAGCTATTTACTACTGTAGGTGATTGAAGTAGTGGAAGTTTCCCTCTTATCTGTTGTTATTGTCCACAAGTAATTCTTTATATCACAATTCACTCAGGAACTGACTTCTATAAAATGGAGGAAGAAAAAGGTTCCTAAATCCTTTCATCTAATTTTGTGGGAGAGACTTTCTTTGAAACATTAATTCTACAAAAGGTGTTACGCTGTCAACAAAGGACTTAAGTAACTGTTCCTACATACTGTCGTTCACAAAGCAAATTTGATCTGAATTTGCAGCATGAGTTTTCACATTTTCCCCCTAACTTGAGGATATGTCATCATGGGACTAAACTCTCCAGTTTCCACCTTTATCATGGTGGGAGTATGGCCTGTTTTAAACTCTCTGAAGAGAGAATTGATAATTTCACAACAAGAATGACTCATCTTCAGTGGGTTGAGTGGATGGATGAACGAACATCAGTTTGAATTCCTGTATCAGACACAGTCAAAGACTTTACAGTAATCAAAAAACCCTGCAGAATAATCAAAAAACTGCGCTTATTTAAAAAACAAAAAGAGAAGATCCTTAGAAAAGTACAATCATTGAAAGCACATTACAATTAGCAGTTTGTGTGTGTGTACTTACAAACAGGTCATGTGACTCTCCCAGCACTTCTTATGTACATAAAACAATGCTTATGTGGATCACAAGACCAGCATCAGGTCCAGGTCCCCTGTACACAGTGTAGAGGGGGTAAAACAGTATCATCTGCTTGACTAAATGCTATTTTTCCTGCATCATGGGAGAGCTGCAGATCTCAGTATTCGTGTTTGTTCTGCTTCATCGGAAACACCAGCTGGATGGGGTTGGAGCACAGTAGCACAATTTCAAAAATGTGAGGTGAGTTATCAGTTACAGAAAAGTACACTTAACTGACTTTCAAATGGCACTCTGGTCCTGCGGGTTCACTTTTGGTGCTCAAAGCAGGGCAAACCCCTTCCACTTGGTAGCCCAAACGTGAAAACAAACACTGGGAATAATTTCAAACAGCTAGAAGAGGCGACTACCATCATCTGTCTCTGGAGGTCACACTGTAACATTCAGCTATCCATTAATGGCAGAGATCATCTCCTCTTTGTTCCCTCTCCCACAGTATATCACACTATCTTACAGTTGTCTCATGAAAAAGCCATTTACAAGCAATGGCGCCTTACAATATGTACAGGATTGATCAAACATATTTTCTGAATTAAAGAAAAAGATATAAAACAGATTTTTCCCTTCAATTATGTACACAGAGCAAAGAGGAGGTGTTAGAAAATGATTGAGCACCTCAGAGTCATTGTGTAAATTTACACACAGAAAAACTGCTTCCAAGTACTGGCTTTAAGATAACAAACTCACACTCATCCCTTCATTTGCCTATCAGGTACATGCAAAAAACAGCCAGAGGCTCAGCATTCATTCAGAGGGGGCCACAGGCCCCTTTCTAAAGGCAAATCAGATCTCATGAACTGGATTCATAAACTCTTCTCTATGCAACACGTCGCCTTTTCTCAAAAAAAAGAAAGGATGGGGTTTTTTGGTCTCCCAAATCAGGCATATTGGGTGTCAGAACACCGGTTAGCGCTCGTACCAGTGATTGGTACTAGTCACTAGTAGATAGGATGATCAAGCATCAAAGGCCCCTTTGGAGTGTCCTCTTGGTTTTGATACCTGAGGTGTAGCGTGGGTGAGTGAACACTGGCTGAATGTATGGAGCAAGCAGCGTGTTCTGACCAGACCGCGATCAAATCATATCTAAAATAGTTCTTAGCACATCTGTCATGTCTGAGTACTAGATGATTGAGTCTGCTGTTGACAATCACAGGTAAACATTTCACAATCAATTAGTTCTGATGTTCTGTGGATAACAACTTAATCTACACTAATCTGACTGGCTGCAGTAAAACACTGCCCATCTGGTACTCAGAGCCATTTAAAATAACCACTAAGAATTATTTGCAAGTACCACTTGAGCCAAGTCTGGTCGTGAACATTACAGAACGGCTGTCGCTTTTAAAATATTCCTTCACTTGTAAGTGTGATTAAAATTGGGTACGTGGGCAGCATAATGGTGTGCAAATATGTAACATCATGTGTATTTGCCAAGAAGAGTAACTGTGCAGGACTTTGTCTGGCTGCTGTAAAGCCGCAGAGATAAATTCCTGCACGTTTGTCGTATATGGCGCTTAAAGTGATCCTGTCTGAGGCAGTGTGTGATGGCAGGGAAGTTGTTCTCTTGGGCGGCAGACCAGTAGGGGGATGAAAGGGAAATGTGGGAGATTGCGGGATGGGGGGGTTAGATATTGCGTGTTGGGATTTTCAGGTAGTTGATGTCTGGCGCGAGGGACGACCCATGGACGAGGCGCTGTAAGTGCGGGAGCGCTGCCTCACAGCCAATCGGCAGGGCAGCTCCAGCTCCAGCTCCTGGAAGAGGGGAGTCCCTATGATCTCGGCCGCCTCAGGACGCTCGCTGGGGCTCCACGACAGCATGCTGTGCACCATACTCAGCTAAACACAGACAGAAAACATTCAGTACAGTCAGGTCTTTCAGAACAGCGTCAGGCAATATTACCATCCATCAGTTCAACTCATTTGCTTTGCTTAACACTCATGTAACAGAGCAGAACCTGTACCAATTGTAATTTAAGCGCTTAGTTACCCATGCAATTTATTTCATGAAATACACACACACACACAGGACATCTTAAAATAGAACAGTACATAACTAGGAAAGTGGGATACTGGGATAACAGGGCGAGGGCATTTCCAGGACTGTAGAATCACAGATTATGCTATGGGATTATGTTAATCTCATTACTTAGTAAACAGGTAAACAAGGTAGTGTAACCAACCCAACACCAAACAGTAGGCCGGTGCCTGGTGTGTTACTGAAGAACATATTTTGCTGATT